CTTAAACTAGCAATTCTCTTGAATTCTTTAAAATCTCTTTTAGTAGTTTTTTTTATAATATTTTTAATTTGTCTTCTATTTGATTAAGCTTTTTCTCTTTACTATCTACAATTCTTTTTTTCAATTTGTCTTGAAGTTGAAGATAATATATTGTTAATTCTTCAAAAAGATACTCAAGATTTTCTCTTTTTTTTTTCTTTGGAGTTTCTGTTTTGCTTTTTTCTCTCTAAGATCTGATATCTACTTCTTATATTACTATATATTCTTCTAAATAATTGTTTGATAAAGTTTTTTTCTTATTTATAGAATTTTTCATTTTATTTCTATTATTTCTTTTTTTCTCATCTTTTTTAAAGATTATCACTTTGATGTTTCTCTTTACTTCTTGGTTTTGTTTTACAATATACTGTATATATATACTTCTTTGATTTATTGAAAAAAATCTTTTATTCTTTTCTTTCTTTGTTATAATCTTTGCTCTAAATTTTTTTGTCTATGAGTTTGAATTTATATTTTATCTTGTTCTAACTTCTCTATATAGTTTTCTATCTATATTTTAAATACCTCTATATTTGTTAAATTTTCTAAATTTTCTTTATCTTTTTTTTATTATTTTGTAATAGAAAAGGTAAATTTTCTTGTTCAAGTTGTTAAATTAAACTCTTCTCTATATTTTTTCTTTAAAGTGCTTGTTGCTCTTCTCTTTTTTTCTAAAATCAACTATCTAGTCCTTATAAAACTCTAGTTCTTTTAATAGGCAAATCGCAAGTCACCTAAACAAATATTTTTTTTTATATATAAACTAGCTGTAAACCTGGGCATTGCTCTAGAATAAAAATTAATTTTTTAAAAGAATTTACTAAAACACATCTATGGTGTTTTACACCTATGTATATATTATTTCAAAAACTAGCTAATTAATCGATGTGAGGTGTTCTAAATAAAATTGTTTTACACCCCAAAAAACCCTTCCCAAACTCTAATTCTAACTTTAATATTAACTTTAATGTACAAAAATTGATGTTAAAAATTTTATATACAAAACTTATAAAACTTAGAAAATTTTAAAAAACATAATAAAACATATAATAGGTGAAAACCACCATAGGTATATTTTATAATTACTTTTTTAAAATTTTTATTTTTTAACTTATAAACTTTTTTATATATTTATAATCTATTTTTTTTAATTGTTAAAATACTGTATTTAAATAAAATTTATTGGGTTTAAAAATTCCACACATGTGCATGGTCGTGGATCTCTAATTGGCCAATCAAAATTGATCACGTGATTTAATATCTCGCAATTAACCAATCAAAATTAATGATAGATTTTATTATTGATAAAAAAAAAAAAAAAAAAACTATATATACAAGAAAACTAATACTAATAATTCCACATGTGATGATAACATTTCAACACCATCTACGCACTAATTATGATACCAATGGCAGCTCCAACTATGACACCAATGATGCACTAATTATGATATCAATAATGGCTCTGACGATAGCTCCAACTACAACACCAACGACGTACTAATTATAATACCAACAACAACTCCAGCAACGATTCCAACAGTAGATTTAACACAGAAAAAAAAAATTTGTTAGCAAGCTCAAAAAAAAAAAAAATTCTACCAACAATAAAAAAATTGGCAAAATATATATCCAAAGTGACAATGTAAGCACGGCACCAATGACAGCTCCGACTATGGCACCAATGACAACTCCAACTACAGTACTAATGATAACTCTAAGAAATAAACCTAAAAAAAAAAAAGCTTGTTAGTTCAAAATAGAAAGAAAAAAAATAAACAAAAAAAAAATAACTTATTGAAAACTCCAACTACGGTACCAATGATGATTTCAAGAAATAAATCTAAAAGAAAAAAAAGTTTGTTAGTTCAAAATAAAAAGAAAAAAAAAATAAACAAAAAAAAAACTTATCGAAAATGATTTCAAGACCAATCGATTTCCCATAAAGACAAAAAACTATTCAAAAAAAAAAATAGTAAATAAAAGATCAAACAAAAGAAACAAAAAAAATACTAGTACTTACCAAAACTATACTCAAAACCAAACTAGAAACACGAAAAAAGAATACTAGACCACACTACAAGAGTACCAGAGAAACACAAAAGACCATACCACAAGAATACCAAAGAAGACATAAGATTATTTTAGTAAAAAAAAATAATTAGTAAATATCATAGATAAAAAAAAAAGATGCAAAAAATAAAAAAAATTGGCAAAATATATATCCAAAGTGACAATGTAAGCACGGCACCAATGACAGCTCCGACTATGGCACCAATGACAACTCCAACTACAGTACTAATGATAACTCTAAGAAATAAACCTAAAAAAAAAAAAGCTTGTTAGTTCAAAATAGAAAGAAAAAAAATAAACAAAAAAAAAATAACTTATTGAAAACTCCAACTACGGTACCAATGATGATTTCAAGAAATAAATCTAAAAGAAAAAAAAGTTTGTTAGTTCAAAATAAAAAGAAAAAAAAAATAAACAAAAAAAAAACTTATCGAAAATGATTTCAAGACCAATCGATTTCCCATAAAGACAAAAAACTATTCAAAAAAAAAAATAGTAAATAAAAGATCAAACAAAAGAAACAAAAAAAATACTAGTACTTACCAAAACTATACTCAAAACCAAACTAGAAACACGAAAAAAGAATACTAGACCACACTACAAGAGTACCAGAGAAACACAAAAGACCATACCACAAGAATACCAAAGAAGACATAAGATTATTTTAGTAAAAAAAAATAATTAGTAAATATCATAGATAAAAAAAAAAGATGCAAAAAATATAAAAAATACTTACCAAAAACTACGCGCCAAGACTAATAAAGAAAGAAAAAAAGTGATAGAAGAAAAAAGACAAAAAGAAGTAAAGAAGAAAAAAAAAATATGAAATGATAAAAAAAAAAAAAAAGAGAAACAAAAAATAAAAGTGTGAAGAATAAAAGAGAAACAAAAAATAAAAGTGTGAAGAATAAAAAAGAAACAAAGAAATGAAGAAAAGAAGAAACAAAGAATAAAGAAAAAAGAAAAGAACAAAGAAAAAGAAAGGAACAAAGAAAAAAAAAGAATAAAGAAAAAGAAAAGAATGAAGAGAAAGAGAAGAACAAAGGGAAAAAAAAAAAACAAAGGGAAAGAGAAGAAACAAAGAGAAAAAGAAAGAATGAAAAGAAAAAAAGAAACAAAAAAAAAAGAAACAGAACGAAGAAAAAGAAAAAAAAGAAGCAGAAAAAAAGAAAAAAAAAAGATCAAAAGAATGAAAAAAAGAACAGAAGAACGAAAGTAAAAAGGAAAAACGAAAAAAGAATAAAAGAACAAAGATGAATGAAAAAAAAATGAAGAAAGAAAGAACAACGAAGAACAAAAAAAGAACGAAAGAAAAAAGAAAAAAAAAAACAAAAAAAAGAAGAAAAAAATGAAAGCAAAATTAAACGAAAAGAAAGATAGAAAGAAAAAAAAAATAAAGTGAAAAAAAGAAGAGAAAGAGACAAAAAGGAAATGGAAAACAGAAAAATAAAAAGCAAAAGAAAAAAAAAAAACGAAAAAAAAAAGAAAACAAAAAATAAAACAAAAGAACAAAAAGAAAAAAATTAAAGCGAAAAAAAGAAGGGAAAGTCAAAAGAAGAAAGAAAAATGGAGAGAAATGAAAGCCAAAAGAAGACAAATTAAAAATATTATAAAAAAAACTACTAAAAGAGATTTTAAAGAATTCAAGAGAATTGCTAGTTTAAG